CGCTTCCTTTCGCATGCAGCTTGCACGGCTCAAGGGAATAGGTGGTCAAAAAGTCATCGCGAAAATGTTGGTTCTCCCAGCTCTTATCATCGTAGACTCCACTACTTTATTAGCGTCTTTCAGAGGAGCCTACAACAAGGCACGCTCGTGACGCGCCAAAGACTAAATTGTTGTTATTCACAGCTGTTGAGGGCATAATAGACACGACGTAAAGGTGATTAAAAAATAACAGTGAGTACCCCAAAAAGTCGACAGAAAAATGAAGACCTGTAGATTAAAATGATGCATTTCACTGGGATTAACAGATGATATACTCGAAAATAACCACCTCTAATGATCTCTCGTTCCTCCACAAATGCATTTTGTCTAACGAGGGAAATGTGTGATCAGAAAGCTCAAATCAAAATTCACAGATATGCAGTGCTACTACCAATTGGAATAAAAAGTCTTATCACTTCCAATGCAAACCCATTACTTCGCATCGAATCGCCACCTTCATTTCTGTCGCACGCCGATGAGCCAGCAAGCGGTTTAGATACATTAACAACTGCCAAAAGTTTCAATCCTCCAAACGGCAGCAGAAGTGTTTGGTAACAGCTGAGTGTAAAGGACAAAGTTCGAAACAAGACAAAAAACAACCACGAAATCCAAAAAAGGTGAAAAGAGACCGGACAAATCACAACCAATGTCAAGGCTTCAGTGCCTTTAAACTGAGGAACAATGTAACTATGCCTTAAAACTTACTTTGTAGTAAAGAAGGCGAATTATCTCGCGTACAATCTGTGGTATCTCACAAATGCACTCCCTCGAAGCGGAGAATTTTGTCGAGACGGTGAAGAACCCAGTCACGTGGCAGCAGACATTCGTTGCAAGCGAATTGTTCAAGTTGTTGTCTAGCGATAACAATGCAGAGCATCGCTCAAATGCATCCTGGAGATAGAGTACAACAATCGGTTAGTGACTTGACTCAGTTGCCAAGTTCGATGACAGCAAAGTAACGAGAACTTTCTCCTTCAAAATCACAAACAATTGAAGATTTGGAAACATAAGTTCTGCATGGGATGAACCATGATGCATTCCAGCGCAGATATCGGTCCAAAATAGAGTAACAAGTCAGCAGACTATTTAACTTGTTATAAAGACTTAACTACAGGGAACCTCCAGTCCTCACGATTCAACTATCACGCTCTAAGTCACCCACCTCTTCCGCAATTTGATAAACAAACCTACTTCTCGTCCAGTGTGTCCACTTTCACCCCTCAGGGACAATTCGAGAACTACAATGGTGTCGGCAGTAAGAAAGTTCACTCTAAAGAAACATTAATCCCCATTTTGGCAGCTTATCGCCACATCTGCGCGTCTCGGAAAGAAGGTAATCGGTACAAGCGACCGAGTTTAGGGGAACTCTCAACGGAGGGGTTATCACAATTGAGTCGAATTTGGAATATAGGACAATCTCGAGCTCTATAGAATGGCCAAGAAACGAAGCGCAATGATGCTTGAACGAGTCAAAATCGCCTCCCAATTAAAATTTGGCTTAGGTACAAGCATAGCTCCGAGAAACCACATTGCACTGTTCGTCATGATGGATATTGTTGCTTTTAGAAGACCTTTAGTCCTGTGAATAGAGCCAGGCATGCGAAATTCGCCCTACCGTGGTAAATGATTCCCGCCAAAGGAGTTCACACAACTATAGCTAAGATCAAAAATCTTCTTGTGGTGACTAAAAATCGCTGTATGATTTCTTTTCCTGCCCCACAAACACTGCCAGTTGTGATAACCGAAACAGAAGAGTGATACCCAAGGCAATGCACATAGGAAGGGAGGGAAGGAAGGGGCTACGCTTATTTCGATGTCAAATATGACCTCCACGACCATGGAATGAGGTACTGTCACTAGCCCTCTAGCTCTTTTATACAAATAGATAATTAAATTACTATATGATTGCCACATCTTTTGGTGCTCGCAAAGTTAACTCAGGCATAAATCCGAAAGACTATAAAACGGTGACAGCATAAATTACGTGGGCAGTTTGTCTGCCAGAAACAGACAATCTAAAGGAACCGAAAGCTCATTAAAATCAAGCCACATACACACGAAAATGCTACAAAAATCACATAAATATCAGCGACTAAAAACAACCTGAAGGGTTTTGAGACCACCCTCGCGTCTCAACTCCTCAGCGTTGAGCGCACTAGTGGTAACGGTTTCGTAGGCGAGTTCAGTAGAAGAAGAAAGGAGTTCGGTAGCGTTGTTACCATTGGAGGCAGTGTCGAGACCCTTTTGGAAGAGCGCCTCGTCCTCCACCTCCATGCGAATGGTACGGATAAGGGCAGGGTAGCCAGCGTACTTGTGAGGGGCGAGCTCTAGGCAGGGGATGAATGGGGACCGAAATGATCAGCCGACTGAGACAGTGACAAGGCTTATCAAATGGTAGGTGGACAACTGATGAGCCAAAGCAAGATCGGATTAGCTGACTAGGCGACGAATCGGTTGCTAGGTTATTTAAACCAACCGACTGATTGAAAGACCTAAATTCGGATAACTGGATCTGCTGGCCAATAAATTTCCCGACAGATAAAATTACTGAATGACAAATTAATCAACACGACAGTATCAAAGTTGACCAAGGAGTTCTTCGGTCAACGATTTATTCGATGAGGAAGGGGATTAATCAACATACCAATAAAAAAACTAAGCGATTACTCAACAAGTTGCTGGATGTAAAGAAGATCTAACAGCTCCTTCAATCAACTCATTATAATGGATAAAGAAATCAGAGTCTATCGATAGCCCAACCATCTACTACATAACCCACATACCGGATAATCATTGAAGAGACTGACAGTAAAGTACTAGGCTACCATATACTTAAAATATAATCATCTTAACCAACAATACAATAGAATAGCTTAAAGAATGAACAAATAACCGTTCAATATACGGATTTAACAACCGACAAACCAGTCAACCAACCTTTTCGATAGCGTGAGTAGAGGATGCTCTGAGCTCGAATGAGAAGCTGAATGTGTCGACGATTTGGCCCATCGGAATGAAGTCCACGCTCACAGAGAAAGTTGTACGCCGCTTTGACAGCCTGGAATTTCGCCTGACCATTCGGATTCTTGTCCGGGTGATATTTCATCGACAGTTGGTAGTAGGCTCGACGAATACTTGACTCTTGGTTTGATCTAAGAGCAGAAGGGAAGCATAGAAATTATAGTAAAATTTTCAAGACCAGTGGAGCTTACCCCATGATTAATTCTTTTATTAAATGCAAACACATCCATGCCTGTTCCTTCCTTCCATCCGTATTTATTCACATTTAAACCTTACATTCACCCATTATTCTAATGTTTATGCACAACTAAACCGCAGAACATTCTAGTCCTTCCTTAGCAAGCCTACCCCTCTATTCCTGAAAGCTTTACCTACCAATTCATCTGTTCACCCATCCATTCACCCCTATTCTTTTCTGCCTACTTGCCTTCTATCCATTCGCTCCCTCATTCGTCCTTTAATTTGCCAAGTAGCTATTGGTCCATCTACCAGATCGTTCAGACATCTCACATCCATCCATTAATTTATCCGGCCTAGATCCATCAATGCATCTTTTAGGCATACGCACGTTCACCCGAAAATATCCAATCCTGATACTGCATATAAACCTTCTGCCCATGCATCCATCAATTCACTCAGAACCACATCAGATCCGTCCGTTGATCCATGCATCAATGATTCCTTAATTCACCCTTGGTCTTTTCCCCTTACTATCTATTTAACGTGCTTCAACCCTTAGCTACACCTCTCAAAAGCCTTTTCTGAAGCTAAAAAGAAAACCAGTGAAGTTCAAACAAGACGCACTGCTATTGCCAACTGAAATTGGGGACCTCCGCAATGTCATTCATTTAAGTCACATTCCGTTTTGCAGGTGATTTGGTGGTTTCAGTGAATCCACCGCTATCAACACTACTGTTTTGGGTGTTGATGTGGTGATAGGCACGTAGATGAATACCGAAAAGGATCCACGGAACATGACAGAGGGTCTGAAACCTTCAATCTACTGCGTTTGAACTTCCACATCTGTTATGTTCAAAACTCTAACATGAAACCACCTGTCCATGGTATTGACTCTGAACTCTCCTGTTCAATTACAATAGAGGAGTTTCCAGATTAGTAAGTCTTACTAATAACCGAGTATAATCGACAGCAGTAATTCTGAAATGAGTCGACTGCCACTTCAATGATTGAATGGCAGTAAATGCACTACAACTGCTGTTTCAAAACTTGATGGAGAGCTTTCAAAAGATCAGACTGCTGACGCCTACCCAACCACCCTTATTTCTAGCCCTTCCAACCGACTTACTCATTCAATTGGCCAGCTTCCAAACCCAATTCTCGCAATGAATCCTCATAAGTGATCCTCGAAGGTTTCTTCTCCGTCTCCACTCGCCAAAAAGCCAAAATGTCTCGTAATAGGGCTATCTAAAAGTGAAAGAACAAAGAATACTAGACCGGTATCGCAAGCTAACTTACCTGATAATAAGATAAACTCACTGGATCTTTAACTGGCCAGTCAGGAAAGCGCGAGGTGTCACAGAAATGTCGAAGGTAGTAGCGATTACAGAAGAGTTCACCTTCTAGTTGGGCATAGATAATTCGTGGAATGCCGATGTGGTGGTAGATGGAGCGCACATTACTCTTCAGTCGAGGAGTAAAGTCAGCAAGATGGGCAGCTATCCGTGATATCATGAAGCGCCTGTGAATGGCAGGAATGAACCCAGAAGGAACAACTACCACGGGGTTTAAATTGGATCAAAAAGTACCAGGGATAACTCACCGCATTTCCTGATTCCAGATAGCTTCGGGAGTGTCGAAATCCCCCAAAAAAATTTCAGCAAACTTCTCGGGTGGATGATTGTCCAAGAAGGCTATCATGGCTTCAGGGAGAATTTTGCTCAGAACTGACGGTAATCCCGTCTCTGAGGTCTAAAATTAGGCATTGCACGCGTTCAAGTTCTTGGTCTTTCCATCAAGTTACCCATCATCGCTATCTTTCATCCACCTATCAATTTATTCACTCATCCACCCCAAATTTGTTTACTGTAAATTCAGTCACCCATGACCTTCTTACCTTGGCTATATTTTCAACAATGGCCAACCTTTGGCTCTGTGTTCGCAATGAAACCTCCTACATAATATGGCTTGTCTATTGGACTAAGCACAGATTCCTGACAGTTGCTTCTTAATAGTGCCATCAAATGATCCAAAAACGTTTTCAAAGAAAGATGCTATTCATCAGGTCTAGTGCCTCCCATGGAATGTCATAACTAGGAAATCAATGGATTACAATTAGACAGCTCAAAGTTTTGAAGGATAGCGACCAAACAACTCAATAGATCCCAACATCATCAATTAGAGAAAGAAGCAGGTTACGCAATGCTTCTTCATCTGTCCCATGTTCCATTCACTCACTCATTCAACCATTTATAAGATCAACCCTGAACCTTCCAAAAGCACATCAGTTTATTCATGGATCCCTTGATCCATCTATCCATCCATCCAAGATTCCTATTGTATGTTAGACGTCAATGTGCCTGCAGTTCAACGCACTCCAAATGACTTCTCCTAGCCCTCTATTCAATCCCATTCGTCCAAGAGTAGGAATTCCGTCAGAATCCACACGAGATGCATTTCCACTGTTGAATCCAGTGCTTTATTTATTCATTAAGCAACTCATTTTTAACTACTGCCAAAAGTAATAGGAAAGAAGAGCTGGGATCCATAAATCAAACTGAGATTATTAAATTGAGACAAATGGACGATCCAGGGCAGCTTTAAAACACTATTGAGAAAAGGAAGAAAGGATATTTAAGAAGTGATTCCTTTGCTGAGAGGACAGTTTGCAAGTCCAGATTAAAAGTCTGGAACTTTTGATGAGTCATAAAACCTCAGTGAACAGACAAAACAGGAACTTCAGAGGTGGTAGAAACAAAAAGTAGGGGAGAGGTGACTTACCTCCTCCGCTTGCAGAAGATGCGTGGCTTTGAGAAAGCGAACAATAGGAAGGACGTTGCTCCCGGTGTACATAAGAATGAAGAAGAAAACACCGGTCAAGTAGATTCGTGGAAGACAGGGATTCTGATCGACTACATGAAGCAAAAGACTGGCGACGCGTTCCACTAGGGGTGGATCGAAAGTAAGGAGAAGCTGAAGATGGAGAAAGGTAAAAAAATCTCCTAAATGGAGCCGTGTGTTGATGGCGACTATATTATCATCTCGATACATAAAGAGCCCTTGCACCTATACTACCTTCGTTCATTCACTCAACCATCCCTTAATCAACACAACTATCTGTTCTCCCAGCCGCTCGTGGATGCATCAATTCATACATTCCAGGTGTATCCCGAATGGACCCAACCATTGAAGATTTTAACCATTCATCCGTCATATCCTCTCTCCATCTGTTTTACTTGGCTATAACCCCTCTTTTCGTCCACACATTCATCAGTTGACATGACTATTCATTCGTTCAGCTAACCATTTACCCATCGATCCACCAATTCAACTGTATATCCTTCCATACATTTACCAAACTAAACATTTACCTATCCGTCCTTCCACCCCATTTAGCCATCAAATCAGCACACCAGTTGTGTGCAGGAAACCCTCATCCACAAATCGAAGCATTGCTCCTTTCGTGCATCAATCCATTTATCCATTCGCCTATGCAATCAGTTTTTAATTTGTCCATCATTCCATCAACGCAAGCATTAATTCATCCATTAATTAATCAAATCGTTCATTCATGAACCCGCTTATCTACGTACTCAACTATTCTATCTCTTACACATTAATCTGACTGCCCTTGATCCACCCAAGTAGTAAACGCTACATTCACTCAGCCATCCATTCATCAGTTTTATTTTCCCCTCCTCCGGTACCCTATTCTCCTTTTCAGAGGTAAAGTACCAACCGACTAACCTGGACAATATGCGGCAAGTTAAATGGACTCGAAATTGCTCGTCTTGGTCTCGGGAGGGGTCGAATAATGCCTCCTGTCGTCTCGTCCCTAGAAGCACTCCTCTCACACAGTCTTTTTAGCACCTCCACACATCGAATCGCCAGCGCCGTATGGTCTAGGAGCGCCCCCTGACTGACTCCCAACTTAGTAGTCAGGTCGTCTTCTTCAGTTCTCCCTTCCGCCCCCAACTCATTCATATCTCCTCCTCCCTCCGCATCTTCACCGAAGAGCAGTCGCGGCACAGACCATCGAAGTTGTGTGACCCGGTTGGCCGGCATCCAGCCTAGAGTGGAAGCTAAAGGAGTTTTCGTGGTTACAGTGGTGCCGGTAGTTGTAGCACCGAACGGGGCGAAATCGGAGGTGGAATTTGAACCGAAGGCCTCCTTCTCATCTTCCTCAGTGCCCACGAAGACACCTTCTATGCGACAGCGAGGCTGACTGTCCAGACCCTGAGCGAAAACGTAGGTATTGCTGGCGAGATTGCCATCGGAGAGCTTTTGGCGAATCTAAGGCGAAATCAAGATAATGAATGAGATTTGGATAGTCTGTCCTGCTATGTTCGAAAACTACTGGTTTGGTGGTTGCAAAACCTTTCAATATACATATTATTGGCCTAATTCGTGCCCGGTCGAAATCCAGATTCTTCGGCTACCGCACTGCATTTGACACCCCGGTTTTCTTATCTGAGCCCAAGGGCCGAAATAGGCGACACATCACCAACTTTTTAATAACTACACCAGATTGTGCTGTAAACAGATTATCTTAGTTCAAACTGATAGAATAGTAGCTGGTATGTTTTAGTCCAAAAGTAATAAGACGTTTTTAGCTTTTAAAATGCTGATAAATACGTGGTAATACGAATTAATGGCAACCAATTTTATGATAGAACAATAAGGCATCTGAGCCATGGTAACGAAGGTACCGAGTTGTGCTCAAAACAAATAGCCTATACCACGATGCTTGAAACCGTTGAACAATTATGCAACTGGTAATTGACGTGTTCGGGCTATTGATTGGTTATAACATCATTCACCATGGAGTCTATTAATCATTTGGATGTAAATATGGAGGACGGACTTCGGTAAAGGTGAAAGGTCCCTCAGAGGTGCGCGGCTCGGTGGTGCGCCAGTACCACCACTCGCGTTGCGTCGCTCCGCCACCTTCCACTGCCTCCGGATTGTCGGCGTCACCTTTAAGCACGTTCGTTGCCGTGGGGACAGGTGCACGTGCAGTGTGGAGGTGCGAGAGGCACGCGAGGTCGGTTACCACACGCACACCATCAGCTTCGAGGAATTCGTCCGCGTTGTACTGAAAGAGAAATGGGGGGAAGAGTCGATCAGTCAGTCATTGATTCTGACGCCTAAATTATTCTATGGATATTTTAACCACTCGTATAAGTAACGCTTTCGCTAATTGCGTCACTTCATATCTAACCATCGCCCCTTCTTCCGCTGTCAAGTGCCTCGGAGTTTTGAAATCCAAGTTTTAAAAAGAAGTTAAATTCATTTACAAAGGAGGCAGAAAACGTCTTTAATATTCATGCGTCAGTAAAATTCCTCGAATTAGTGGTTGCCTTTCAACGATTTCTAAAATTGACTTCCACTTCCTCTAGTAAGCGTTCCCAACACCTGAAATTTAACCTTAGAATAAGTAAAGAGCGATACACAGATGACGAGCGGAAGTTCGTATTCCTAATTATGATTATAATTCTGTCTAAAGTCAAGTGTGTGTCGAGAGCGGAAGGGATTTAACCAAATTGGTCGATGGAACTACGACTCTCAAAATCTCGACTTTCAGGTGGATAGAGAAATCAGAAAGTCCGAGATTCAAAATGATGAAATAATGGGAATTCCAATGCTGGAAGACGTATTGTTGAAATCATAGAAAAGGGAATTGGTAATTGACTTTCATTACTCATAATTACTCTTTCGGCCACAGTCAGGTGTCGTTAAGTTCTCAAATCTGACTTTGAAAAGCGTGCGGAAGATTCCACGACCGATTTGGCGGTGGAACTTTTAAACCCGTAGATCTCAACCTCTAAAACATCGATAGGGAAAAAGACAAACAGCCAGCCAGGCAAATCATTTCAACAAGCAAACTGCTTTATCTGCTTCTTGAAGAAATAGACATTCAGACACTGATAGACGAAAGAATACCTTATCAATCACTAATTTCTCCAATAATGTAATAAGACAGTCTCTTTCTGCAGCCGATGGCGTTCTATCCATAAGATGCACTAGGAGAGGAATATCGGAAACCGCTCCGATTTCCGCGTAGCACCTTCCATAGACAATTGTCATCGCGTTCAAGCAGAGGCATCGCATTGAAAGTAAATGATTTCCACGTCTGCCACGGCCGCGTTTCCCACGTGGAATCCTTCCACCACCACCACCACCAAGTGAAGAATTCATCGATCCCAGTGCCGCGGTGTACTGCAGGTAGCGTCGGAAGAGCTCGCTGAAGAATTCCCGACTAAGGAGGAAGAGGTGGAGAACCAAGCTTATTGCAAATTGAACATTTAGCTATTTAGAGAGCATTCAGTCTTCGTCTGATCTGCTTGTGGCTACAAATTCCCAGCCCTTCTATAAAAGTTAGTAACGGTAAAACTTTCTTCCATAATAGGGTTTCCTCAGTTATGGCTCGAAGAGTCTGATGCAGATGGTCAGAGGACTCTCAAAGCCATGTCCACCTTTAACAGTCACACCAAACCACGTTATCTGCAATAAGGTAACAAACGAAGCGACACCAGGCCTTAACAATCCGAAAGTGGCCGTTATGGAGCTGGCAAAGAATAGCTGACACAAGATGCCTGACCTTTGAAGAAATTAACGACTGGACAACATTAAGAGAGGAACAAAGTGGTAGGGAGGAAAGAATATTGAATTCTGCATTTACTAAATGCCTCTAATTGTAGGCAAATGGCCCTCATACGAGCAGCGATTAATACATGAAATGCGTCCGCTTAAAGTAATACAAAGCCAGTGGGCCCTCGTGATGAAGTTCACAATGAAAACACAAATCGAAGTGACAAACCAAGAACGACGAGGTGGACCAATACCGTTGGGATCAAAGATAGTCTCATCGTGACTAGAGAAAATCCTGCATAAAATGACCAACATTCCTAGCTCGTAAATAGTTCTCACGGTAACGATAGGCAATGTAGAATGATCACAGGGAGCACTGAGGACATGTCAACATCCTAACGTCATTACATTCTGCCCATGCACAAAATCTCATAGATCTTGAGTATGTTAAAAATTTTCTGATTTAGCAAATAATCTCGTCCAACGTACCTATTCTTAATTCTTGAAAGACCTAGCGTCGAAGCACCGTGATCAGCATCATCAGACGCGGAAGCTAGACGCTTATCCTCTTCCAAAAGAAGACGGAGGAAGTAGTTCCCGACACGAGGTTCAGCAGCCAGGCTGTGATAGCGAACTCGAAATTCCGCATGATTCCACGAGACCTCGTTTACGTGGGTCAGTAGACGCGAGACCTGCCGTTCAAGTGAACTAGTCGGTATCGTGGAGGAAGTAGACTTGGAAGAGCTGCCAACATTGCCATCAGATGTGACTGTGGAGTCACTGTCATCTTCGCCGCTTTCATGGGCTTCTAAAGCAACATCAGCTGCTTCTGCCTCCTCCAACGTTTCCATTTCACTGTAATCTGCTCCAGAGGCACCTTCACCGTCCTCATTTTCAAGACGAGAATGGGAGAAGAAGCTGCATTCACGACAGTATTCACCTACTTCTTTTTCAATGGCATCCTTCAATTCGTCACGGGTCTGGCAGAAGTTAAAAAGAAAAGGGAAATTGCGAACAAAATCAGGTGGGAAATATACTGAGAACGCGTTTCTGCACAGTTCAAAATCTGCATAAAAAATAACGGGATCGCATCGTCTCATCCTGTGCCATAAATTTCAGCTAGAACCGCAATTCTTGCATTCTCACAGGGAAAGAAATTTAGGGAGAAGAAAACTACATTCGGCTTCAGAAGAGTCTCCTGTTGCGAAACTCGTACACCCACCACGGCGTTTAACCAACACCTGCAACGCGGTTTCCCAATCGTTGTCGCTACTACGTTGCCGATCCCCACTTCTGGGCACACTC